AGAAGACCTTAGACTTTGGATTTTGATGGATATTTCAAAACATATAATTTGATAAAATGCAATAGAATTATTCTATATCTCCTTTTTGATTAAATATTAGGTCCATCGTAAATATATTTCGTTCCTAAATATATTTCAATAAATGAAACATCCTGTTGTACGTATTAATTTTATCGTTTCCAACAGAAAACCAGTCGATGAATTCGTAAAACACGTATAGTGCGCTTTCCGACACAGACATAAATACATAACAAAAAGTGGAATAATTTTAGATATTAATCTCGTATTTTAAAATCTAGAGATACAATTAAACATTTTACTTATGTCATTTTACTTAGTATAGTCACAGACGAGCTTTAAATTTCGATATTGAAAGTTGACAACACTGTAATGGGTATCAAAAATCATATTGCTGGCGCATTCACTAGTTCCCCAACTCACCATTGTTTAAACGTAGAGTGCGCTAAAAAACTAATGATTCTTTACTACGTCGGTATTTCAGGTCACGAGCCACAAAAGTCCGTATGGTGCTTGGTCTATTCATATACCTCGTCGATGGTTATTGCAATGATATTGTTGGTATTGTCATATTTTTTAGCGCTATTTCTCTGACACCTGATGACAGCACTTTCGCGGACGACAGTGTTCGACAGTAATAACAATTAGTTCTACCGCTACGTGGCACTAGCATTTCAGAATTTTTATTTGCAAAAAGCTAATTAAACGAATTAATTCGCAAACTTTTATAATTGCGTTTTCCAAATTAGACCTTCAGCTTTCTTCTCATATCTCAAAAAATCCATGAATAAGAATTTACAAATTCTACTTAAATCGAAATACTTGTCCATATAATCTGTAATTTCTCAAATATTATTAACTGAAACTTGCCAAAAAAATTATTCGTGGATAGTTAGAAATGTAGATAGTTAAAGTACATTAGCTTAGATATGAATCTTTATTTCATCAAGAAGTATTAATCATTAACGATTGTTGCACATCTCTCTATAGTATCAATGCGATGAAGCAGTACTTACGTTATACTAAATTCATTTACAAACTATTTTACATGTAACATTTTTCTTCATATGTTATATATTATTTCTTATTTGCAATCAGTACATAAAGCTAATTTTATTTCTAGTACATAATTAAACAGTAATCACATTAGAATATGAACAATGTGCTATTCTGGTTAGGTTTCTACAAATAAATTAAGTCTTAAATAATTGCAATCACGAAGGGTTGTAAATCTTTTTTGTAATATGTTCATGATTGCATGCATATAATTTAAAGAACAAACTTTAGCTTTTTGTACAAGTCATCATCTATCATTAGTGTAGTAATTATATAGTAGTTGTGACTACTTGGTTACACAACGCAACATTTTTCATAGTCACTGATTTATTGAGTATCCATCGTAATATAAAAATATAAAAAAGACTATTTATTGAGTATCCATCGTAATAAATCGCAGAAAAAGACTGTTTTTTTCCAAATCATTATCTTAGAACTTGAAACATAAACTTAACATCAGATCCGTTCTGTGCTAAGTCAATGATGAAATCTACTAAGAGTAGAATAGATGGGTATATCTCATTGATGGTTTAACATTCATATTTTTTGACGAATCAGTGAATGAAAAAATTCCACAATGATCGAATCTACGAATCACCTACCAATAAGCGAACTTATGAAATTTTATAATTATATTTCTAAAATTTTTCAGAATTATAAATCTGCTGATTATAGACTTCATCTCGACTGATCATTTAATATAAAAATAGAAAATTAAAATAATTAGAATAATCCTTGAGTTTAGAACTGATGTCAGTTTAATGAAAATTGAACCAAAATTATTATTCAAAATTTATCTTCCTAATAACACTAATTATAACATATTTGTGTTAAGTGAAAATAACAATAATTGTGTTACTATATACAGAAATAATAATCTAACGAACTAATATTCAATTTCTAACATATAAGTTTAGTATAAAAGCGTTAATGTTATTGATATGCAAAATATTCGAATTATTTCACAAATATAAATTAACGAAGTACAACGTTTTTCAGCAAATTTTCATTATATAGTTTGCTAGAAAATAAATTTAACTTCATATTGCACAGTTGTCTCCTATTACGTGAAATAAGCACTACCAATTATCGAAGTATACGTCTATGCATGTATAGCATTTCTTTGTATTGACCCATTCACAATTCACTAAGTCTCTAGACTTCTCATTTTGTGCGTTCATTTCAGATTGCTCTCAACTTTCGTAGTACGTTTCTGGAAATATATAAGGAAGCCATTGAACAAAGAAATAGAGAAGTGTCGGATTTTTCTTCGAAATAGCAACACTGAAAAGAACAATATACAACCAACAACAACACGTGTAACTCTTTAGCCTGCAGTAACTATTTCTTGAGAATCGTGCAGCGTATCTTCGGGAGATACAGGTTTCTCAAATAAGCCTCAATGTATTCATCTGGGCATCACTGCTAAAAGCATTGTCTCAACATCGTGGCATGTTTTCACGGTGCACAAAAGATCCGAAGGTTGAGAACCTCTCATTTTTGTATATTAAACTTCTTTTTTTCTCATTTCTTTAAAAAAAAAATTAGTATTTTTCAAATAAAATGTTTTCATCTTGTATGCACAATCCAATTTTTCGTTATGTACACGTTATTGAGTATACTGACGCGTCTTAACATGTACTTTGTCACAATGTTTTCGAATACTTGTTATTTTACAATGAATTTTCATTCTTCATTATTGGCAACATATTAAGTACGATATTGTTATCTATATATCAAATAAAATTTTTAAATAAATACTATGTATGCTTAAGTTCAAATTTTGTAAAAACCCAATATTTATTATAAAATCTTTTTTTTCATTTAAACGATAATATAAAATAAAATAACAAACAAAATGAAAACAAATATTTCAAAAAGAAAGAAAAGAAAGAGGAAACTGTATTGAGATCATTGTATAATTTTCATATGAATTCTTTACAGGAAGTATATTGCAGATAAATTGCTTTTTATTTACACCATAAATAATGACAGAATATTTTGATTTGCCACTTAATATGGACAGAATATGCAGAATTTGCCTTACAGAGGGTACTAATTTGTCTCCTATTTTTTGTACGGACCAAGAAGTAAATGACTTTTCTGGCCTTTCACAAAAGATACAAGTTTGCGGATCAATTGAAATTCATGAACAAGATGGATTACCATCATTAATTTGCGACATTTGTATTTATAAAGCAAGTGTTGCTCATGAATTTAGACAACAATGTCAACATTCTGATGCGAAATTAAGAATGTATTATAATAAACCATCTAAAATTACTATTGTGGTAAATATAACATGATGTATTAATTTGTTTTATATATGATACAGTAACTATAAATATTTCTTAAATGTTTTAGGACACATATACACAAACTGAATCCGAAATAAGAACATTATTATCAAAAAAACAAATTGATCAAAATTATTTTGTTAAAGAGGAAATGCATGTATCGTCAAATTCTCAAGAATATATACAAACTAATAATTCATTTTGTAGAGATGAATCTAATTTAAGTACCAGTCATATTGATATGCAAAATGAAAAACTTTTTATTTGCTCTATTGGATTTGAAGGATCTAAAGAAATTGAAAAGGAATCTTGTGTCTCAGAGAATAATATACATGAAACATCTCTGATACAAGAGAGTAATGATATTCCTGAAACTATTGATATGGAAAATAAGCCAGAAGAAAATCAAGATATCAACCAAAATCCAGAAGAAGATGATAAAAGACAAGAGGAGGAATTGTTTGATGAAAATATGTTAGATGATAATGTCAAAGAGGAAGAAGAAGTTCTACAGAAACGTACTTCTACTAGGAAAGTCAAATCAGTGCCTAATAAAACTTATAGTGAAGATGAAGTTCATAGTAATTATTATGATTCAAGCAATGATGATCAAGATTCTAGAGAATTAAAATTTAAATGTAAAGTATGCGGAAAATGTTACAACACACAAAGAGGTTTAAAAAAACATTCTCTTGTTCATGAAAAAAAACATAAATGCAATATTTGTTCAAAAATGTTTTACAGATTGGAAAACATGGAAAATCACAAAAAAATACATGAATCAAAACCTCTTGCTTGTCAGTTGTGTCATGCATGCTTCTCTAAACCTCAAAATCTTGTACGTCATTTAAAATCTCACACAGAAAAAGTAAATAATATGATTAAACAAATCAGTACAGATGAACAAAAGGATAACAAGGAACCAAAAAAAGAAATGAAATTTGAAAATGATACTGATGATGAAAGTGGTACTGTGAATGAAGTTTATGATTTTGAAAATGCACCTGAGTTGTACAAATGTGAAATTTGTAGTCAGTATTGTTCTTCTTTAAAAAATCTGAAAAGACATACTCTTGTACATGGAGATAAGAAATATTCCTGTACTGTATGTAAAAAATGGTTCTTTAGGCCTGATACGTTGAAAAAACATGCAGAAAAACATGGTCATGGCTTGTTAGACAATTTAGTAGATGATAATAAATTTTTTGATTCTGATGATGACTTTTTCCCGAGTACTACACAAAACACTTTACAAGACAATGAAAATGTTAAAAAAGAAGAAAGTGATGAAGATGAAGCTGGTGAATATAAATGTCAACATTGTGATAAAATCATGACAACAAAAAAAGGTCTTAGACGTCATGTATCAATGCATAAACCAAAAGCTGAACCAGTTACTTGTGAAATCTGTGGGAAGGTATGTGCTAGTCAAGCTCGCCTTGTCCTTCATCAGAGGACACATAAACCAAAAGAAAAGGTTCCTCGAGAATACCTATGTCACATTTGTAGTAAAGTGTATCCAAGTAATTCTTCTCTAACTTATCACATGAGAACTCATACTGGTATTAAACCACATGTGTGTAAAACTTGCAATAGTGGATTTACTACAACAACCAGTTTAGCAAATCATATTAGGATTCATACAGGTGATAAACCGTTTGTTTGTCATGTATGCAGTGCAGCATTTGCTGTGAGTTCAGCTTTTAGACGACATTTAACTCGACATACTGGAGAGGCAAATTATTTGTGTAAAACATGTGGTAAAGCATTTAAAAGACTAAGTACATTAAAAGAACATACTTATACTCATTCTGGAGAAAAACCATATGTATGTAAAACGTGTGGAGCTGCTTACAGTCACAGTGGTAGCTTGTTTGCACATCAGAAACGTTGTCGAGCTCAGTATGGAGAAATGGTTGTAGATGATCACACAGTTGCTCATCATATTCATGTAAATAATGTGCAATCTGCAGTACGATCACTTGCTGTGATAGGACAAATGTTTTAATAAATAAGACTTATTATTTTAAAAAAATGATGGTTTCGCTTTATGACAAATGTGTATGTATATCTACACATATACAGCATACATATATATTTGTAAATATACAGACTACTAAATACTTGTAGAATATACTACGATTCATAAAATATATGATGTAACATTAGTGTAGAAATCACATTCTTATGTAAATATATAAGCAGCTTTTTTACAAAAAAAAAAATTACTTAAATACTCATATATTTAAATTCCGTAAACTAAAGCTTTATTGCACAAAAATTTATTTCATTTAAACGGCAGTCATTGTTCGGCAGTTATCTTCTATTCATGTGTACATTTTTTTAATATAGTCTAATGTTCATGAATAATATTATAAAGATAGTATAATTGTACGAATTAAACGTATTTATTTATTTACAAAGTGTCCCAAAATCGTATTAACCATAGAAATAAACAAATTTTTTGTGTAAAAGCAAATTAATAAGTTCCATATCATTTTGTAATTTAAAATTTTATTTTTAACATGAAAACATAAATAAAAAAGATCGTTATATTTTTAGCATAAGTTACCCAAGTTTTAATAATTAAATATACATTTTACATAACACAATATTTTATTTTACATAATACACAATATTTTGTTAAATATATAGATTATGTAATAAATTAATATAATTATTAATTATTAAATATAATTCTTATGTGATAAGAATTATTTTTAACAGTTCTAAATTAATAAATTTATTTAGTTTATATATTTTTTTAATGATTTCAATTCAGAATTTTTGATTCTTAAAAACAAAAAACGTAGATAATAATAATTTTGTAATATGATTTTGGAACGCTCTATGTACAAATTTAAATATAATTATAAATATTTTTATATGCAACTGCAAAAAAGTTTTATAAGATATTATATGACATTTTATACTTTATATTATTTACTTTTCTTCTTTAAAAAATTGAATTAATTGCACTGATATTGGCAGTATTATAATTTTGTACGAAAAAATTAAATCTATTCCTTTTTGTATACTCACGTGTGTATTATATACTTATATTATTTTAAACATTTTATTGTTTGTATTTAAAAAGCAAACATATACCACTAAATGAATCGTAGATTTTATTTTGTTTTTCATGAAAATATCAAATATGTATAAACTGTATAAATCAATAGTATTTACAATTGAAAATTAAAATAAGTAAAAATTGGAAATTTCTAATATAAATTAGTCACAGTATGCAATCTGTATTATGTTTAATTAGAAAAATTAATATTATATTACTGTTCATATTAATTTTATGATAATAATAATATAAAATTTTAATAAATACAACTATTATTTTTATTGAATGCAATCAATTTTTTATACATTACATATACATTATAAATCTTTATATATGTATTGTATTGTAAACCATATAATTTATGTAAAATTAATTGTTATCAGTCAATCATACAGTAGTTATCGAGGTTTTTTAAAATTTATTTTGTATTTATAAAACTCATAATTATCACACATACAAATAATAACATATTGTGCCATAAAGACACATAAATAATTCAAATTTCAGATTATTCATTTCTTTTAATAAGTCTATTATGTTGCATTATAAGTAAAAATATTACAACTAATAATTTCACTTCTTTGTTTATATTAATATACGAAATATTTTTTCCTAATAGTATTCAAAATTAATTTAAATATTCATGTTAATTATAATAATTTATTATAATATGGTATAACTTTAAAGTAATTCCATTAAATTTAAAAGAATTTTGTTTTGATTATTGCATAATTCTTTCATAATATTGATATATAACTAAGTGTGTATCAACGAAGTATGATGTTTAAATGAATTTAAATATGGAAATATAAAAAATAAATAAAATTTTCAAAGCAATATATAAATTCTGAAGACTATCATGTCCATGCCAATTTCGTTCTTTAAATATTGCTAAATTAGAAACATTAGAATGAAAAAATGTATTTGATATCATTCGAACATTCATGGTATTAAAATAAGTAGCATGAAACTGTTTTCAAACACATCTGATATTCGCTTAGGCAACATACAATCATTATGAAAAGCTAATATAATTTTTACTTTTCCAGGCGTTTTTTCTTGAGTAATTTATAACGACGCCAAATAGAAATTCGAGTTCGTTTTAAAACCTTCGCTAAGTCTGCATATTTCCGCTTTTGATCAAGATTCGCATTATGCTCTAGATGATCCAAGATCATTCTATCTTCGTCTGGATGAAACCTTCATGCATTAAACATTAATTAATTAATTAATTAAACATGTAATAGTTACAAATGAAAATACTGAATGATGTTCAAAATAAATTTTTGAACATCATTATTCTTTATATGTACTAATATTTAGTAGAATATGAATACTGCACGAGTGAAGCAGAATTTAGAAAATATTACCTCCTTTGGAAACGCTCTGCATACAAATTTCTAAACCTATGATACACACTGTACAAAGTCCTGTTTGGCAAACCATCTGCTAAAAACTGAACAAATCTTTTTCTTTGCTTCTTGCCACGAATATATGTTTCATTTCCTTCTCTCAAAAGTAAAAATGGTTCAACTTTTATAGGATTCCAGTTATGTAACTATATTGGAATAATAAAACAATTTCAATGTGATTAGGATAGAAAGTTTTTTAATAATAAAGTATTTAACTATATAAAAAAAAATTTTTTAAATGAACAGACCATACAAAATTCTTTCCAATTATGGGCAATTATTTCATCCTCTGATGAGTTATAACATCCTTTTTTAATAGGTGTTATTTCTTCAAATTTTTTTGTTTCCTCACGTGTTGGAGGACGAGATCCAGCACGTGTTTCAATTTCATGTTGTGGTAATGGAGAATTTTTTAATTTTACACTTAAAGTTTTTAAATGCTACAATAGAAAAAAATCTTATGTAATAACTCTTATTTAATATATATAATTATTACTAAATATATCACCCGTCTATCCTCGTCCGAAAGTTTATTTGTTTCTTTAATTTGTTGTGCGAGTAAATTAACATCATCATAATCATTCATTTCTGCAACTTCTATTTTGGTCATAAGAAAAGATTAAATTTTTTAATTTTTTAATTGTAACAAGAATGATTAGAAGAAAACGTGACTAATACGTGACGTTATATATGTTACAGTTTATTAATATTAAACAAATACGTAAAGAATTTTTTTATACTAATTTTCATTTAATCTGATTTCTTCTATCACTCTTCCGTCATTCTTTAGTTTCTTAAAAACATACTCTATGTGTATTTATATACATAACTGATTTTAAATGGATCAGTGTGTTTTCATATTCTGTAAAGTTTGAGGTTAACTCTTGGAAAAATATCTGGAAAAACTATACCTAAGTATACAATAAATAGACATAATACATATATACGTATCAGCTGATTGGATCATTTCGTTTATTATTCGTTAAAAAGTGACGAACATATAATCTGCAATTTTTAATTAAAAGAAAGTTGTAATGCTTAAAATTATATATCCAAATTTAATATTATAAAGGTACTTGATATATTTTTAGTTATTTGATATATTTTTAGTTATTTTATATAAAACTTGTTTAAAATAATTTTATAATATTATAAATTAAATATTATAAATTGTATTTCTCACAATTAATATTTCTTTTAAATAATATATATGTACATATCTCAAAATGTAATGAAAATAAATTTATAATAAATTATTACAACATACCAATTTTTAACATATTTATTAATATTATTATTTTCTGTAATATGATGAACTTAATTTTAAAGTTAATTTAAATATAGTTTTAATTTTTAACCAATATACTTCTTATTTATTATTATAAACATTAATAATTACAGATTATTATAGAAGAACTTGAAAATATTTTTTAAAAGTTATAAAAATCTAAACACTATGGCTTCAGCTTCAAGTACAAGTGCTCGAAGTTTATTTGTTGAGTCAAAAATGAGATTAGCTGATAGAGTACAAGTTAATGTAAACAATATTGCATCTCTTGCAAGACAAATACAAAGAGGTTCAAAAAGCAGTGAGGTAAAATTTCAATGTATCTACATTTATCTATATATTATATTTTACTCATATATATTCTATATAATTTTAATATGTTGTAATTTTAACATTGCTAATGTTTATATAGATATTAATGCATAGTGCAAAAAATTTTGCACAACAGGAACACAGTCTAGAAACTGCAGAAGCTAATTTAAAGAAAACTGCTCTTATAACTAGTCATTTAGAATATCAAATGGAATCTATCAACCGAAGTTTTATAGCTTTAGAGGAAGTTACTGAACAAGTACGTGCTATGCAAAGATAAATTACAATAAATACTTATTTTTATTTATAATATATAATTTTTTATGCATTTTGTACTTTTATATCATATTATTATTGATTAAATGTATAATTTCTTGGTAAATCATATAAATAAGTTTGTTGAATAATTTATGTGCGAAATTTTACAAATATTATTTAAGGTATTTAATTGCATAGTGAATTGGAAACAATATACATTATTGTATTCTTCATATTGTTGTTACAATCTATACTATGTTCAAAATATGTCTTTCCAGTGATTTAAAATACATGTTATAATGACTTAAAATACACGTTGTAAAAATATTTTTAATATTAACCATCTTTACAATGTAATAATTTGTTGCACGTGTTTAAAATTTAACTCTTTTACTGCGAGGTATACGAATACCAAAGCTGATTTAATATGTACATTTTTATGAATTTTATATGGAATATAAGCAAATGGATCCGAAATACTTATGGAAGTTTTCACATAAACATCTAAGGCTAATAAATCAACACTGTGTAAAAAAGTTAAGAATACAGGATACCAATATAATTCGTATTAATAATGTTGAAAAAATTATGTTAAATTTGTTGTTATGATTAAATTTAATGAACAATTCTTAAAAAAACACAGTTATTTTACATAAAATTTCATAATTTTATTGAATATTCTATAAGACTTAAATTAATTACTTACAATTGTAATGTTACATTTAACCAAACAAGAATTTTATGAGTTTTGATTACGTACACAAGATATAATTTGCTAAATAATTAATCTTTGTCATGTAATTTTTTAAAAAGTTGTATGCCAGTTTAATACATGATTTATCAGGGATATAGAATATCATAATGACCAGGACGATACAGTAAATGAACAGCTGGGATAGCACCTTCAGGAAAATCATGTGCAGTTACTTCAGTCCCAGCGCCTCTATCCATATAACGAACGCGTATTCCAGTTCCTAAAGCAGTACTCATAGCTATAATGTGAATGTGATCAGATTCTTTGTACATTGGTTCTACCTCCTATAAAAATAAATAATTTTAATCATTTAATTAATATTGATTATAATTTATAATTAATAATAATTAACATATTGATTATAATTTTAATCATTTAATTAATATTGGTTATAAAAATATATTTCATATAACAAAAATATATATACTATACATGGTGAAATCGTGGTATATTTATATGGAAAGTGATTTCTTATGTAAAACCAAATTAAAAATATACAATAAAATATTTGTATATAGAGTTGCATTTTTGAAAAAATCAAATTTGAAACTACGTTAAATATACCTACATTTTTTTTAATAGAATCTGCTTCATTTTTCTTTAATTTTTACATTAAAAATTGCTTCTTTTTGTATGATGATTTTTTAAATCATCCTGTATATTTTCTCATCCTAACAACTCATTTTTTAGAGTTTTTGCAGATATCACAAAGATTTATAACACTCTTCCAATAAATCAACAATAAAATATTAATTGTAAATAATAACATGAAATAGTATCAATACTTACTTGACGGCAGAATTCTGAAACAGTACGTTCTCCTTCAATAAAATGCTGATAAAAATCAGCTTCACGCCGTAATTGACCAGAAGTAATTAATCTAAGATATACAACAACATAATCAGAACATCCTTGTTCATTGAAAAGTTTATGTAATTCAACATAGCTTGACTCTGTATCTTCTCCTACTTTATCAATTACATCCATAAACTGTAATACAAAAATGGAGATATTTTTTTTATATACTCAGAACAATTGAACACAATATAAAAATTTATAGATATATGATTTATAATGAAATATATTTACTGTATCATGAAAATCTTCAACTGTAAACTGAGGAAAACCTAATGCTACCAAACTATCTTTACTCTTTAATGCAAGTTCTCGAAATTTTTCATACTCTTCTTTATTTCCAATTAACTTTTCAAGATATGCATAACTAAAGGCTCTAAAAAAGCAATTTCCATCTGGTCTAGTTCTCCTAATATATGAGTATTTTTGACCTAATGCTTTTGCTTTTGAAAGGTATATTTCATCCTCAGAATATTCACGTTCCAAACTTTTTATAGATTCTTTCTCTCCAACCAGAGCAATAGATTCAGAAATCTGAAAGATAATTTTTATTTCACATTTTAGATATAAATATAAAATAAAGAGATGCAGACTACAAATATTAAATTATACTGTTTATATATAAACTATCCACAATATTTACACTTGATTTACAATTCATAGCAAGAGAATCTAAAGAGAATCTAACAAAATGTTTATTGAAATCAAAGGTAAAAAATATGCGTGGACAATTAATGACAATTATCAGAAACGATAAATAGAATATATAACTTTTTCATAAAAAAAAATTAATAATAGTTATTAGAAAATAAAAAAAAAAGATCAATTTATATAGTAACAATAACATATATTAACCTCCATTTCGATTCGTCTTTGTTGTTGAAGAATCAACTCATCTTGGTTGATATCTGTAATAAAACAAATATGATAAGTTATATATTCATCCTTTCGAATTGTAATGTATATTTAAGAACCTGTATTTTCTGTTAATTGCTCTTTGCAAGACTTCTCTTCCATATTTCAAGAAGTTTTCATAAATTTTGAAACGACTGTCAAATTATCAGTCGTAAATAAAAGCCCGATGTCCATGTGGAAATTGAAAAGATATTTACCGTTGTATTGAAATGTTTTAGATTGGTAACTATGTCCTCCGAAATAGAACAGATGTTGACGAAATTTTAACAAAATACATTTTTCGATCATTTCTTTCGTATTCGCGTGTATTATACATTGAAATTCAGTAAAATGAAATCACACAGAAGAAAATATTATTCTTTTCTGTTTAATGTTGAACAATGAAAATGTAGAATTCCACCACTAGGAAGTCACATCTGTTATCACTAGACTATTAATACAACCCGCCAAATGTTAAATAACGCATAATACAAAATTATACGAGCATTTGAATTTATTTATTTTTAATAAAATTTAAAATAAAAGATTCCAGTAACATATTATACTATTTTAATAAGATTTAAAATAAAAGATTCCAGTAACATAAATACAAATACAATAACAATTAATAATAAAAAGTAAAGCTAATTATTCGAACTGTTATATTAGAAATTTTCGATTTTATTGTATTGTTTAACTATAGTTAATTATGTTTAATTTCTTTAAAAATATTTATATGAATTAGTATATAAAATATTATGTCGTAAGTCATAAGAATTTAGAAACTGCAGTCGAAGTATCATGTTTAAATATGTTACAAATATATGTATTATTTTAAATTTTTTAACATTGAAACCTAAGAATAAACACAATTTAAAATTAACAAGTGTTTCTGATAAAATATAATAAATAATCGCAATACAGCGAAATTTTATTAATAATGTTTGTAATTATCATAATGCACTTCAAATCATAGTGCAAATCAATATACATATATACGTGTAAACATGGCAAATTTTGAAGAAGAAGGAAGTGTAAGTGACAAAGAAAATCCTCAGGATTTTCAAGAAGAAGTTGAAAATAATGCTCGTATTGATGAAGAACAAAAGGAGAAATTAGTAAAATTGCCGTTAGGTAGAATAAAAACAATTATAAAGATGGATCCTGAAGTGAATATGGTTAACCAAGAAGCTGTTTTCCTAATTACGAAATCTACGGTAATTGTAATAATATTTCAAATTGCATAATAATATTTTAAATTGCACTAAAATAATTTCAAAATGTTTGAAAACTTGTAATCAGTAAACTTGTCAATTGTACTGTAGTTATTGAGTTTAAGTCTCATTTGTATTTATTTTTGTAAATAATTAAATGATGATAAGGTAAATGTAATATATAGAAATTATAATTTGTATTAAGATATATTGTGTACATTAAATTATTATTTTATTTTAATTAAATTAAAACACTTTAATATATGATAAAATGATTTTTATGTTTTGTATCATCATTAAATTTTAACGTTTTATTACAGGAACTTTTTATTGATTCTCTTGCTAAAGAATCATATAAATATACAGCACAAATGAAAAAAAAGACAATACAAAAGAGAGATGTAGAAAGTGTAATTAATAATGTTGATGCTCTTGTATTTTTAGAAGGAATGCTAGATTAAGATTTAATAAATATATATAAGTATAATAACATTATTTTTGTATGTTGTTAATAAAATTTCATAACTATATTGAATAAAATTATATTCACATATAAAATTTCAATTTTCATATTTCTATACATAATATAAATATTTGTAAGACGAATGAATGAAGAATAAATATACAATGATATGTTTTATAAGTAATGTTTAAGTAAAATAATAGTATATTAGTAAAATATATAAGTAAAATAATAATATATATAAGTAAAAATAATAGTATATTTTAAATGTATGAATTAAGTTTAGTACACAGTCAAAAGAAACTAAAATATTTAAAAAGAAGGTACAAAACTCAAAATAAATCATATACTTATTTACTTTTCATAACAAAAGAATATGAAGAATAAGTAATAGAAGGGTAGTGATTAATAATATTTTAATGTTATATTTATACTAAAACTTATATGTTCCATATTTAACATGTATTTTTATTGTAAAACTCACTTAATACAGTCATATAATTTCATCTGCATGTACAAAGAACTGCATAATTTTATTATTATACAAATAAAATATATAAATAAAACTCTTACTAACATACACATCAATATATTTTTTTGGTGTATTTTAACATTATTTTTTAAGACATTTCTGGTTATTTGTAATACATTTTGTATTACAAATAATGTAAGAGTGAAATATGTACATCATAATTATTTTAAATTTTCAATTTAATTGTAGTATTTGTGTACAGCTAATAAATGCTTCAACATTCCTTATTTGAAATGTTAAAGAATATTATACATGTGGAGAAGAATATTTTTAAAAATTTCTATCTAATACATATAATTTATGAGTAACATAGAGAAAAAAAATCAGTCTTATTTTACATATGCCAATTATTTAGTTTTTATTGTATTAATCATAATGATTTAAAATAAATATTATAAATTGAAATATTATAATTTGAAAATATTTAGCGTCAGAAGACGAGAACCTATGATCTTATCAATAAAATAAAAATAAATATATCTCATAAAATAAAGAAAATAAACGAAGGAATTAAAAAATTTTTCAAAATTATTTTTTAATTATTTGATATTACTTTTTAAATAGAATTGCACTTGTGTCTATAAATTATTACAGAATATAAAAAAAGTAAAAAATGATATTTTAGAATGATTTCTTTAAAATGTTTTAATTAATAGTACGATTAAGTTTTCTGATTTCCATTCTGATTTCTTTAAAATGTTTTAATTAATAGTACGATTAAGTTTTAAATTTAAAATTTTTAATTTTTATTTAAAAAAGTATATTAATAGTGATATATTTTATGTATTTGTTACAAAAAATACTTATATTAAAATTAAAACTTGATAGAATTATATAAATAAGAAAAGTAGACATATGAATAAATGAATATTTATATTTCATTTTATGAATCTTTTCCTTTAAAACTTATAAACATAAAAATTTGAAAAATATAAGTTTTTGTTTTGTTAGAAGTAATTTTTGAACATTTAAAAAAAATACAATTTTCAGAATATTTGATAATATATATAAAAGATTTAATGAATAATAACAAATAAAATTTATTAATTTATATCAACATTCATCATTTTGAACATATGCATTGCTAACCAAATATGCAACTGTTTTACTATCATATTCAATAATGCATGTAACAAAATAAGCATATTGCTTATATACATTCAATTATTGAATCATTCCTAATTGTTTCATGATACATTAATTTGTAAATTTTTTTCATGGACTATTTTCTACAATATAATAATTTTAAATGACAAAAACATTAAATATTTTAGTTTCATAATATTCATACAAAAACTTAATCAATTCATAGGGTGGTCCTAAATATGAAATATTTATTCTGTAAAAGTCTATTAGAAAAATTCTTAGGTTTTCTTTAGTTTTAGCTAAAGAAAATTTTTAGCTTTAGACAATACTAACATAATTCAATTATTTGACTGAATTTTTTTACATTATCTAAGGAAATTATTTTTGCAACTAAAATTAATTAATTTTGATATAAACATTATAAAATATTTGAGTACAATAAACACATGCAGCTATTGTTTTAATTTTAACTAAAAAAACAATAAAATTTAGAAAGTATAAAAATTTGAATTTATAATAAAAAATTATTTCATGTTTACAATACATGCTTATTATATTTTATAGATATTAGCTTATAAACATTATTTAAAGCGATTTAATTCCTTCCATTGCTTTCAGTTTTGTTAAATTCAGAATAAATTGCTACTGTAACTATACTTTACACTATGTATTAAAATGCTATGTAATATTAATATTTGAGTATTGTATTTGGATTAAATTGAAAGATTTATAACTGTTATTTATAACTGTTATAGCTGATAACTATTATTTTGTATATACTTTTGTTCATCATAATTTAATCTATAATTAGTATTAATAAATTTTATATTTATAAATGTAACGTAAAAATGATTTTAAGAATTTTTATTTTGTGTGGATTAAAAATTAATACTTATTTTTCAAATTTAATTATTAATATTAATAAAATATTTAAATATTTTAGTACGATTGTATTTAGAAATATATTAGGATCGCGTATTTTTTAAATTTAGTACAAGTAAATTTTATAGACAAAGTAAATTAACGATTAAAATTTTTTAACAAAATTTTCTATGGTTAAATAAATGTTCGTCACCGCTATTAAATAAACTGTACTTTGTAATACTTTCATATGAATAAATATGTTTTTAAAAATAAACTTGTTACAATAAAAATAAAAAAAATTTTTTGGTGACCAAAATTACATAAATATACTTTTTAAAGTATTCCTCCTAATATAATTTCTATTGTGCTAGAATTAATGAATATTATTTATATTTGTATGAAGGAAAGAATGTATAAGAATTCATTAGGGTACTATGTATATTACTGTATAATTATACATGATGAATGCTAAAAATTAGGAAGTAACTTGCCATATTTTTTACTTCTTGCGTTTAGTTTTACGGCGTTTACAATCACCTCCAAAAGAACTTTGATCTGGCGGACTTGAATTTCCGGTCTTGTTGTGATTATATAAATTATTTAAAAAGTCTTCAAAATCTGCTTCACTAATGTGAATAATTATTTACAAAGTTATATAGTATCGAAAACAAAATATTTATAAATTTAATAAAATATCAGTACCTGGTATTTGGATCTATTTGTTGACGTCTTTTGCCATTATTGGCCGTTTGTGATGGTGGTCGTTGACCTAAGACAATTCTATATTGAACACTATGTGTATTTGCTCTTAGGTGTTTTAAATTACCAGCTTGACAAGCTGCCCAATCTGTAACATCATATACTGCTCCTTCCATACAGGCATAATAATGCCAAAGAAAACCCATTAAACGAGACTCTGCCCAGATGTCTCCCTAATTAAATTGAAAAAAAAAAAA